TTCTGATAACCCATTTTAATTTTTCATTTTAATTAACTCCAAGCATAAATTAATGATTTATGCACCTCTATATTCACAAAACTAAATAGTCAAATCTAATGGCTTAATACTTCTATAAGGTTTTTAAGTTTAAAATTCTCGACAATTATTATGAATATTTCATTCACAATGTGCTAGTTTAATCTATGAATTAGATATTTTTATTTAAACGATCTTTTATATAATAAATAAGAATGCTTTGATTGTATATAAAAACAGTACAAGAAAATGAAGCATCAAAATAAGCTATAAATGTAATATTGCTAAAATTAAAATGGCACTAAAATATATTTAATAATCATCAAGTTAACTGTTTTATTTTCGCTATAGCTTAATATATATATTTTGAGGTTATTAAATAATAAAATAATTATAATTTGATCAAATTTTTATAAAAATAATATACGAGTTATTGATGGAATCATATCCAAATGCGTTTGAATAAGATGTTAAAGATGAAGGGATTTAGAAAAGCAAATGCCAGATTTTACAATTAATGAATTGTTTATTATTAGTGTTTAAAAATCAAAATTGCAAATATTAGATTAATTTAGGTGTAATGACAAGATTCAATTCTTAGAGCCCATTTTAAGTGTGTTGGAAATTACATTTTTTGTATGTCATCCAAATCTACTGAGCATAGATTTCGAGTGCAAAAAAAATATAATTTCTTGGGATTATCTAAATTATGAGTTATTTCATGATTAAGGTCATTTTTCTATTAGATTCCATTAGTATTTTAATTTTTTTCATTAAGTTTTAGGTCATAATATTTCTTGGTTTTAATAATTTCATAATATTGGTTAGTATCAATGGATTATCCAAAAGAATTCTGTTATTTATTATTCTTCTATCAGATTTTAATAATTTACACAACATTTAATTGTAGAAATTACTTTTGTATTAAAATATATTATTAGTTGTTTCATTAAAGGTTGTTGTTATGCATCAAGTTCGATTATTGATTGTTTTTAAGTTGATTTGATCTTCAGACTAAAATATATTAGCTTGTTATTTGATCTTTTCATTTCTCTGTTAACTTTAAATTTAAGCTATTGGCAATTAAAGCCTACAAACTAAACAAACTTTAAATAATTACATTCTTCTAGGTATCCTAGTCTGATCCTTATTCTCAAAAACTGCTATTTCTTTTGAAAGTGAGAAGTTATTAAATACTTGCTTTTTAATTGGATACAGAATTCAGTGGAATAATTTTCAATATTAATAAATTAATTCTATAGATTACGAAATGTATTAATAAGATGTAGATAAAAAAGATTACTATCTAAATAAAATGGAAGAATGTTTGTAATCAGTACAAAATCAAGTTGAAGTAATATTGTTCATTAATAAATCAATTAGTCTATATTTAACAATATCGATGCTTAATTAGATTAAATTTTTACTAGTACTTCCTATGGTATTGATGATAATTATTAAAATTCTCTTCAAGCATTAATTCCTGGGTATTCTGATAATTTTCCTTCACCTAAATTTTATAATTTAAACTTTTTCGAATAACTCTATTACGATATACAACCATTAATCATACTTAATATAAAAAAGTAAGAATAAACGGATGAATAATCTTAAAATTAACAATAAACCAATTTGCAAACCAAAGAACTAACAGAAAGCGTAGTTAATTAATGTGAAAATGAAAAAGATAATATTTCGATATCAATGGAATCTAAGTTTTTAGACTAGAATAAAGGCTCATAGACATTAGATGACAATATTGATGCAAATATTATTAGTAAGCAATCAAGAATTCTTTCATCTTCTTATCCATAAAAAGTGAAACCATTCTGCTATGAATTAATACAAGATTATTCATTTAAATAAAATGAGATTTGTTTTGCAATAGCTCTTGATAAAAGTTCCTCAATATTGTTGGCTGGATGTAGATCATAAATAAAATTATTTGAATTCAGGTATGGTATCCTCAAACATCTATAGAGCTTAAATGAACATAAGAGTTCCGTATTTACTTTAAACTTTATGAAGAAATCAAACCATTTTATATCCGGGAGCAGAGATGGGATTATTATTATATGGTAAAAAACACAATAAAATTTATGGAGTAGATAGTAGATACTAAATGGACATAGCAATTAAATCAATTGTTTAGTCATAAATAATAATGAAGATTAAATTACTCGACCATTATTTACGTAGCGTAACTTGAAGTACTCCTT